AGTAGTACTGGTAATGTAACAGTGCAATCTGCATCACAAGTAGCACTACACAACGATTTTGATGAATTTATTGGTTCATTTGCAAATTAAAAAGCTTCTTGTTAAATATCTTTTTTACTTCTATTTTCTTGTTTTAAGTATTTTTACTTTATTAAAAACATTTATTTCTTACATATTACATGATTATTGTTATAATATGTAATACTTCTTTATTAACTGTTTTTATCATACAGTCGTAATTAGAATAGTAGAATATGTACTTGATTAATGTTATTTTATGTTGTAACTCGTGTTTTTGTAGGCGCATTCTTCCTGTGTGAAAACATAATGTACGCGTCTTTTTTGTTTGTCTCATTACAAGTTGATTTTGTTGAACATGTGTGATGTTAAATAATGATAAGTGATTTTTTATACTTCAATGATTTAAAATGCTCTTTTATTGTTATGCTAGAAATTGATTTTGATGAGATTTAAATAAAGTCTAACTGAAAACTAGATGTGAATTAAAACTTTTACTGTAAACTACATTTGATCCTAACACATCAGTAAGAGCATAAAGAACATCGCCAGTGGAATGCAGTTAACGGCGGTTAACCGCGGTTAACTGCGATAACCGGAACGGTCAAATGGGCGTTCAAGCGGACGGTAAACTGCGGTTAACTGACGGTTTTAAAGCGGTTTGTATGACATGGGAGATTTGGTGCACTTTTCAAAAGATTTGTTAATGTTATTGGTGATTCATAAGCTGAAATTTTCAATGTAACTAATGATGTACTAGTAAATAAAAGCGATTGTTCATCTTCTGAATCATCTCGTAACAATATATGAAGATGTCGAAGAGAAGGTGTCTGGTGTAAGAGATGATTTAATTGTTTCCATCCGTAACAATATGATTCAATCGAGAGAGATTGAATTGACGTAGAAATCATTAATGGATGAATTATATAAATTTGACCATGAAAATCTATATCCATATGACAAGAGATAAGTTTAGGTAACATCCAAAGATTATTCAATTGAGTAGAAATTGATTGATGTTCATTTTTAAAACAACAATCAATGAAATTGAGATGAGTTAAATATGGAAGTTGATGACATTCAGTCATCAATCTATTCAATAATATCGTCGAATGAAGATGAAATATTTTAATTGATTGTAAAGAAATCAAATGATAGAAAGTTATACCATAACTAAGAAAGGAATTAATTGCATCGGGTGTTTCCTTATCATCGGATAGAGTTATAGAAATAATTCGATCAGTAATCCGTGGTAAATATCGTTGACAAAAAATATCAAAATCACATTTCGATATGGATCGAAAATCCAAATGATAAGTTTTGTAATGAATAAAAAGAAGATTATTAAAACGGTTATTTAATTGATGAAATGCACGAGCAAGATCAACAGCTGAAAGATATTCGAATATATCAAGTAATAATTCATTAGCCAATGTTTCGAAACTCATCGTAGATTTGAATAACATAAAATATTGACGTTATTATTATTGTTTTTCTTTCTGCCTACATAACACGTTTTTATTTGCAGATAATATACCTTATAGAAGGATAAAATAAGGTGCTGTTACTTTTTTTTCATTCTGTTCTATACGTTGTCCTTATCCTTTATTTTATAATGTCCTCTAGCGAAAGAAAAAAAATTCATTGAAGATTCCTTTCTCATTGGTTAGATTCGATAGTGATAGTTGTAACCTTCTTGCTTTACTGCACATAGCATGTCTTCTACAATGAAATTCTTATCGAATGTTTTAAATATTTAAATGGCTGATATTTATTTCATGCATCCGATTATCTCTATATTCGATTTCATCTTAAGGCACCGTATTGAGAACAGAAATCTATAACAAGTATAAACGATACTGACGGTAGATGATAGTTGATCATAGTAGCTCCGATTACTGAATATTGGTTCAAGTGTAAGAACTGGTAATTGAATATGTCAATATTTAGAAAGTCATAAGAAAGGTCCAGATGGTAAGCGTAATATACCACCATCATCTTCTATATTATCATGGTGGGATCGTGAACGATCTCGAATCATGTGTACGACAGCTGTTCTCGTATCAACACCTTGGTCATTTACACTTGCAAGAACAGTTGAACGATTATTTCCAGGTTAATTCTAATGAAAATATTTAGTAGATCTACTTGTTTTTTCTTCTTCTGTATTTTGATTAGGTAAACGAGGAGTTCAGATTGCCAAAAAAATATTGACCAATACGTTACTCGCACCGATTAACATAAGTCTTGTCTTTACAGCGATTATTCTTTTACAAGGTCATTCACTTCGTACAGCAAGAACAAAAATTAAAAATGATATGCCAAAAACATTCGTAATTGGCTCATTTTATTGGCCATTTATTTCATTTATTAACTTTCGATTTATACCACTAGATTATCGACCGATTATTGGAAGTATAGCTGGTGCTTTATGGAATATTTATGTTTCATCAGCTGCTAATAATCCAAAATTAAATCCAGATGGTTCAATAAAAGCTTCAGCAGGACCAGCACCAACTTTACTTGCTGAAACAAGTGGAACAGGAGTACCGGCACTACAAGAAGCATGGAAGACAGTAGATCAAAATAAAAAAGATCTCTAGTATGGAAATGGAAGTTCTCTTGGATATAATTCATACTCTTATGAATTTTATTTATTATAATATGATTATTAGATTGTAAAAAGAACTCCATCTATTCTTTAAATGCTATTGTTTGAAAGTGCATATTAAGTGTAAAGTAATTATAGTATCAAAAGAAGTAAGAGCAAAGCATAAATATTTCCAAAGTTCTAGTTTAATGTTTTGATAGAAATTTTGATTGAAATTGAATTAATTATTTATGAATTGCACATTGAAATTCTTTTTCATAATTCTTAGATGGCAACATAAATGTTGGAAATGTTAAAATTGATAAGATAAATGAAATATAATAATCAATGATATATATCCATAGGATGAGGCAGTGTTGAGGATGTGGTTGTGAGTAATGAATGAGAGGAAAACACGTACCCTCAAGATTGTTGAAAATAATTGTTTAAGTTTATAATATTTATGTATATGATTTCCATTTTTATTCATTAATTTGTCTAGAAATCTCTTGAACAATTAATTTCAGTTTTAGATATCGATTTGCGATGAAAATATTATCGTTGATGTTTTATTGTTTAAATCTGTATTAGTGAGTTATATTTAATAGGTATTGTTTATGAGCTTTTAACTGTTGTTTTTTTCTTAGATTTATGCAAATTCAAAAGATTTTTATTAAATATCTTTTTATTTTTATCTTCCTGTTTCAAGTATTTTTACTTTATCAAAAGCATTCCTCTCTTACATGTCCCATGTTTTTTGTATAGGGTGTGGGTAAGTGAAGGTACAGAAGGAGTATGCACATCCACGCCAACACACACACACACCCTTTTGGTGCGGTATAAGTGAAATAGAGTACTCACACTTACCCACACCCTCAATCAATAATAATTATTATTTCTCTCGCTCAGATAGTTTAAATAAGTCAAAATATTATAGAGCAAGTAATTAATCAATTATCATTAACTATCGGTATTGACACATTATTGTTACCATTTATCACCAACTGATAATTAGTGAGTGATAATACGCATCACATACTTACTACAAAACAGTCATGTAAATTTTTTAATTTTAATCTATTTTGTTATGAATGACGCAGAACAGACAATTGTTGTTAAAAACGCGTTTTTTTATAAAAGCAAAACAGAGACGTTTTTAAGTGTTTTTTCCAGTCTACCTAAAAATAAATTGTGAAAAATAGTTAAAAAGAGAGAATTACACAGACAAATGTGTTTAAACGGCGTTTTCACCGTTTTATGTTTGCCTGGGCAATACCAAAGGAATAGAATCGAAAGTAGGAGTAGTAGAAGCACCAAAACTAAAACTAGTAGTAGTAGTAGGAATAGTACCAGTAGTAGTAGTAGCCAGAGGTGTTCCGATGGGGAAGTTGTTGGGGTTGCAACGGCTCTCCCTTCTTGTGGCTTTTATGACAGCCCTAGTATTAGCAATAGCAGTAAAAGGAGTAGAACCAAAAGCACTAGTAGGAGTAGTAGAAGCATCGAAACTAAAACTACTAGTAGTAGTAGGAATAGTACTAGCAATAGTATCAAAAGGAGTAACACATGTTTTGCCATTATGAAGCTTCGCATGGGCACCAGGAGTAGCGAGTTCTTGTCTTTCTAAATGGAAAAATAAAATACTTAATAATTTCAACGATGATCTTAACAATTTCATTTTTTATTCAATAGAGTTGTTAATAATAATGGAAGTATACGTAGTTAGAGAAATTTTCTCAACTTATCAATCACATCAATTGATGCAAAACTCATAAGTAAGAGAATTTACCCGTTTTTATAAGAATATGAGCGTATCATGTTTACTTCAGACTCCTCTTGGTATCTAGATCTATTATTCTTCTAACGAAATCACACAATATGGGCAGTGTGATAGAAACTCTTATCAAAATGTATATTAATCTCAAACTTTACTCCAATTGTTACATGCTAAAAAGTCTAAGTAATGTATCAGAACTATGAGTATGAATAGAACAGTTGTGCATGTATGTGATACGAATATAAATGTTTAAAAGGTACAAAAAATAAAGTTAATTCTTGTATCTACAAGTAATAGTGGAAAAGCCTCAGGAAAGTCTCTGCTTAACAAGATTCAAATAATGAAACTCTTTAAACATTTTTTGAGATTACTTAGGTAAACTATAATGTTATAAAGAAATTCTAGTAGATCTCATCAAATATATGTCTGAATCATAGCTTAAATTTTATTTCTCAGAAAGCAATCGATTGTAACAATTATTGATCGGCTTTGAGTGATAAGAAGACTAAAAAATCACTCAATAATTCATACAAGGAAGTATTCATCGAAGCTTAATAGCTTAAGATAAAGAAATGTTACTAATCTACATGTGACAAAAACTACATTTAATTGTTTCTTTAATAAAATTTTGTCTCCATTTTCTGATATATTACTTACGTAGGAACTTTTTAAGTAGTTGATTTAGTTGTTGAGAGAGCTCTTCAGTTGTCCTTTCATGTTTTTGAATGCCAAATTTCTGTTGTTCCAATTGTGCAGTCAGTCTGTTTATAATTTCAGCTTGCTGTTGTTTGTCAGTGGTAAACTCTTGTTGAAGATTTTGAATTGTTGAATTTTGTTGTTCTATTATTTGAGATTGGTGCTGTTTATAAGCATCAGAATCTTGTCGAAATTGACGAAGTTGCTCACGCAAACATGTAATTTCAGTATGTGATGAAGCATCACATCTGGAGTACGTAATATTACATTCCGAACAGGTCAATCTGATCGATTCACAATCATCCTCATGTTTTGCTAACTCTTTTTCCAATACTGTCGAATGACAACCAGAGCACTGTTGAAGTTTGTAACCACATTCTATTTCATGTTTCTCAAGTACTTCGTATCCAATTATCTAAATAGAATGCAAACAAATAATGATTATATTTCTATTTCTTTGCTAAATTCTTACCTCTGGGCATCCATTTGATTGGTTTATACATGCAAATTGCAGTTTGGCCAATTGTTTTATTATAAATGGAGAACATCTTCGCTCAACATAATTTTGACAGTGTGGACAATTTTCTGGACTTTTAACAAGCCAACTTTTGATACACTCTGAGCAATATAAACTATCGCAATTATTACAAGCGATAGGTTTCCAAAGAAGATCAGTGCATATAATGCATTCTAAATCCTCCACATTTACCCCACAAGTGACTTGTATGCGTTTTGATAACGAAGTTTGTGATTTAGTTTCCATCTAAGAAGTTGATATACACAAAAAATTAATGCAATCAATCGTATTAGCAGACGAAAAGGAATACTGCTTAAATATGCTATGAATTTAAAATAAAATAGGCTCTAAATATTCTCTATACATGTATATGGCTTCTAGTATTCATTATAAAAGAAAAAATAGATAAGATACATTTTCACGACTGTAATCATGCATCTTCCAAGGATTTGTATTGAAGAAATCTCAGTTTTTCAACAAAGAAAAGATACTAGTTTAACCATACTTACCGAGAGCAAAAACGGTTGAAATGATATAATTTCTATTCACACAACAATATATACATACCAAAGGTAAAATCAACAGAGACGCTTTACGAGACCACGTCGAAAAAAAACCAGAGAAATATTTTTATCTATTTCTCCTAATGAAGAAAACGTGTTTTTTTGTTCTAATCTAAATATTTTGCAATTATGCATAAAAAACAAAGCGTCAACATCTTTACCTTCTCTAAGTGGCCGCGATAACAATATTGTGTTCGTCGGTAAATAAAAGTAACTTGAAACCTTGAAGAATAACTGTGAACCGATGTACAACTGAAAATCAAACGTACCACGATATTTTGTGAGGGCGTGGGTGAGGGTTTACTTGTTCATCAGCTGACCCACACCCTAAAATTTCTATGTTGAGTTAACGATAGAAGGACACTATGAATTCCACACACTGAAAATATCTTGAGATGATATACAATATAGTTCCTATTAATTCCTAACAAATATCAAAAGCAAATTGATATAATGTTATGAAAAAGCGTGTAGGTATTGTTTTCTTCTCTTACTCACACCCACACCCTCAAGATCGTTTTGACTCAAGGATAGTATCATTTTATAGAAAATTAAAAGTTATCACCACTCTTCCAATGCATAATTGATGAATTCAAAAGATTGAAAACGATTCCTTGTTTGAGAATGATTCATTCTTGTCTTTATTTTCTATGCTTTTCTGTTTTTCCCGATGTTCGTTTTTGCTCTCGTCTTCTTTGTATAGTTAATAGAGTCGACCAAAGGAATTCAAAAGTTATCAAAGGACTAATACAAATACGTCTTTTCAGGAAAATAGTCAGGTATTTTCCTTGATTCTGCAAAACTTTCGCCGTTCACCAATATAATAAATCATTGATATTTTCATTAATACATAAAAAAAAGATGAACAACTGAACAAAACTGAACACTATAGTTCAGATATTTTCGGTTTGACTCGATCGTTCTACCAGGATCGTGTTCATAATCTGATTGTAAGTCTAAGTCCTAGAATAAAAGAAGGGATGATTGCATTTTGTATATTACATAGTATTAGTTTCTCACTTGAACGTTATGCTGAGTGCTATTCTAGAGGTCAGAAAAACATACAAACATAAGAAATAGATTTGCTGTTGTTGTTATAAATTTACTCGCAAAATTTACTCGTCCTCCTCCATTGAGTATGGGTGACATCTATATCATGTTATATTATGTTCTACATGGTAGTCATCTAGGATCACTCATTAAGGTGTCAGTTGTGCTAAAAACAATGAGTTTATTCAACTGAAAGGAATATCCATAATAATTCGATTCCATTTTAGCCAATGAAACCGATGCTTCTCCAAGGATACGTATACAAATAAAAATCAATAATACGTGTGTAAATAGAACTCTTGTATTTTCTTCATAGAAATATTAAAAAGAAACGTGATTTGTGTTATGACAATGAAGGATATTATGTTTTTTTGATTTAAAATCTTTACTTTCCATATTTTATTATTGTTTTTACTGGACGTATTCGTCATACATCATTGTATGATAGCTTGATTCATTCTTCTCTTTATACGTCAAGTGAATACTTACTTTTCTTTCCTTTTCTTCCTTTCGCACACGTGGCTTTTACCAACTACCACTATTGGAAGATACCAATTCGTCATAAGACATATATATATATATATATATGCAACGATCAAAACAAATGTCTGTTACAGACCGTTTTTAATAAAAAACGATGAAAAAAGTAATTAGTTTACGACTGTTGATAGTCCGTAACATTTGATCTGGATCGTAGTTACTTGAGTTCTTGTTAGGTAGTCACTTCTATTCAATAACACAAAAATATATGATCCTTTTACCTGAACTGTCTACGTTGAACTATTTTTTTAGAAATTTTTTTATTCAATAATGGCTACTGCTACAATCGTTCAAGTCAATTCTGGTCTGCTAACTGCTGCATTCTCAACAATTATGGGCATGCCTTTGAGTACAGACGTTACCACATCTGATCAAGTTGAGATGGTTTAGGTATTTGATCATCATAAAACAACATACTCGTATGGTTGCGTTGGTAATAGACCCGCTACTACAACAGATGACGATCGATGCTTATTATTTATTAAGACCTTAAAGAATGGAACATTTCAAACTGACGTAAAGGCAAATGCCAAGATTGAAGAAATTAAAGCACATCTTCATGAATTATTAGGAGTTCCACCTGATGAACAACGACTTATCTACAATGGAAAGCAGTTAGAAGACGGTAAAATCATGTCGGAATATAAGATAAGCGATGAATCTACACTTCACCTCGTAGCAAGATTAAACACCACGAAGCCAGTTGTTCTAGATCCTAGAAGCTTGGATCCATTACATGATTTTGACTTTACCTATATAAATGATGGTCACCTAACATTTACGCGAGGTGGTGAACGATATGTTCGTCCATGTGGTTTCAAACGATTTGCTCTCAACGTATCCGATAAGTATGAAAATTTGCTATGGATAGGTTGTAATAATGGTATGGGTGAATGGCCTGTATCATATCATGGAACTGGTAAATATGAAAAGAAAATGATTGCAGAGGATGGATATGTATTAACACAAGGACAAGAATTTCCGTTTACTCAGGGAGTCTATTCGACTCCAGATGTATGTCTGGCAGAAAAGTATGCGAAAAAATTTACTTATAACAATGAGCAGTATCTGGTTATTTTTCAAAATCGAGTAAATCCTACGACTTTAAGAAAACTTCAAGCTACTGGACCGAGAATTGGAGATTATTGGGTGAGTCCAAGTGAAGCAGATGTGCGTCCATATGGTATTTGCATTCGAAAAGTATAACATGAAAAAACAAAATTAATTGAAAAACTTTTTTCGGATATTTTCTATGATTTCCATATTTTTCTACAGCATTTTTGTTTATGACAGGTGTCAATAGTTCTTTATATAACAAAAAAAACATGAATACGTAATAGAATATTGTTCTGTGCCAAGTGTAAATCGATGATGTATCAATAAACTTTCTTTTTCTCAATGGTATTCTAGTCCATATTAACTTTTCACATATTTGGAATAAATCTCTAAGAAGAGAGGAAAAAGGGTGTGGGTGTGGGTATCGGTGTGAGTGTTATACTCGACTTCGTTCCACACCCACTCACATTCACATTCGCATCCATACCGGCACTCACCCTCGTCCGGGAAGTATAAAACCTGGCGTTTCCTCTTGTTCTTACGTCTAGACATTTTATTATCAAACGTCATTGAGTTAATCCGCAGTTATTTTAATAAAAGAATATTATCTTTCTCATTCTAACACTTCAAACGTACTTTTTTTTACCGCAGCAAAGATAGCGACTTTTTCTATAAATATTATCTTTATTGCTTGTCTGCTAATATTTATTTCCATCGAGATAGCGAGATGACAGGAAAATTAAAAAAGACTCTGTCATTTTGATTTTATTTCATTTAACAGTGAATGGGCTATTAAGAATTCTCTTTTCTGCTCATGACTTGTAAAAAATAATATATTTTATTATAAAGATGATCAGGAACATCATACAAATTTGGTGTTATATATCGATAATTTCTTATCAAATGGTAAAAAGTACAAGTAATTATACGATTTTTGTATTTTAAGAAGTTATCTAGATAGTGTTAGATATATTTATAATGTTTTAGAAGTATCCTATAACCAACCAAAATTGCCTGCATGCGCTTGGTGGGATTCAAAGGTCCTGATACTCGCAAAGGGTATAGGAAGTGGCACTTATGGGAACAATCTCTTTGTTGACAAGCATAACACTGTTTATGTGGCTATTTATGGTTTGAGTCGAATCTACATATGGCATGCAAATCAAACTACTGAAGAGAGGATTTACTTGGATGCTTACTTCAAGCCTCTGAGCATTTTCGTAACAATTGATGGAACCATTTACGTTAGTGGCGATGGTATAAAGAACGTCGAGAAATTGACTTTGAACGCAACAAATGGCATTGTTATTATGAGTTCGAATGAGTCTTGTTACGGATTGTTTGTTGATATTGCCAGTTATCTTTACTGCTCTTTACGAATTGAAAATCGAGTCATAAAGACATCACTTAATATCCAAAAAGATATCTTGACTACCGTTGCTGGAAATAGATCCAGGGGGGCAGCGGCTAACATGCTTAATCAACCTTACGGAATTTTTGTCGACATCAATCTAAATTTATACGTCGCAGACTGCAAGAATGACAGAGTTCAATTTTTTAAATATGAACATCTTGATGGAATAACAATTGTAGGAAATACTGAGAAACCAACTATTATACTCCACTGCCCGATAGCTGTCTTTTTGGATGCTGATTATAATTTATTTATTATAGAATTGTCAACCAATCGTATTATTGGATCTAATAATGATAAATTTTATTGTTTAATGGGATGCTCAAGTACCACTGATTCAACATATAATCGAATTCTCTACCCAGGCCCCGCTGCTTTTGATAGCTATGGCAATATCTTTGCCAGTGATAGACACAGAAATGAAATCCAAAAATTTTTTCTGATGAAAGATCCTAGCGGTAAGCAAGTAATACTTCCAAACTTATCTAGAAGAAGAAGAAAAATATTCAGCCTTTCAGTTACTTTGCGGTATTTAATGTTGTTTAGAGACAATTTGGTTAGCCCGATATTTTTCAAATCTCTCGGCTCTCTGTAGTAATTTTAAATTCATAATTCTAATATCAGGCCAATTAGAAAGAGGAAAAATATTCTAATAATGCTAATTAAACTATTTTTATTGAATAGATGGTTGTTCGATTATCCAATCGGTATACTCATCAGTATTAACTACCAATAGCTCTACATTTGTAAGCAATGCCTGTTATCAATCGACATACTACTATGACGCTATACAAATCAATGTGAATACAACTGGTCGCTACAGCATTAACAGCAATAGCATATCTCATATATATGGTCATATTTACAAGAATAATTTCGATGTACGCAATCTAAAGCAAAATTTACACTTACAGGACAATGATTATTTGAATAATACACACTTTAAATTCGATGTTGATCTTCAAATTAACATTGTATACATATTAGTTGTTTCAATTAATGGTTCAAATGTAAAAGCAAACTTTTCAATTGTTGTAACTGGTCCAGATAACGTTAGTTTTATTTGTATGAGTGAGTATTGTTACTATCTATTGATAGAATAATTTTTAAAAACACTAAAGTTACTACTTTGGAAAAAATTAAACATTAACTAATTCATTTATTATTTAATCATTAAATTTTCATAGATACTTCGTCAGTTGTCCAATCAATTTATTCATCAACGCTAACAACAAATAGTCAAACGTATGTACGTCTTCGATGTTCCGAATTATTCTACTATGAAGCCATACAAGTGAAAGTAGTTAAAACTGGCACGTATATCATTAGTGATATGAGCACTAATAACACATACGGTTTTATTTACAAAGATAGTTTTACTCCTTTCAACCTGTCTGTACATCCCCTTCAAGAAAATGGTCTGCATGAAGACTGCAATTTGCATAAGTTCAAGTTAAACATAGTTCTTCATGCCAATACTAAATATATATTGATCATCACAACGAGAGATCCACTTATCACAGACAACTTCTCGATCATTGTATCTGGTCCAAACAATGTCGTTTTTGATCGTTTCAGTGAGTATCTCTACGATATTTACGTTTTATATATAGTGTTTCTTATATCTAACTTTTCTTTGATTGACATATGAATTTCAATTGTTGTTTTATTGAATAGAAACTTCGTCAGTCATACAATCAATCATATCGTTAGCGTTGACTTCAAGTAGTAAAACATATATACACATGAAGTCTTTTGGATTAAACTATTATGAAGCAATACAAATACAAGTGTTTGAATCCGGCAAATACATCATCAATAGCATAAGTAGGATCAATTTATATGGGTTTTTGTACAATGATACTTTTATTCCATATGATCCAGTTGAACATTTATTCGCAGAAGATGATGATGGTTGTTTTAATGATCAATTCAGATTAGAGAAAAATCTTGATATCAACACTACATACGTATTGATTGTTACAACATTAAAATCACAAGTTACAGGCAACTTTTCTATTGGTGTATATGGTCCGAATCATGTCATTCTCAATCATATTGGTAAGTATCTATACAAACACTCGAAACATTTATAAACTCGCGTAAATATATACATATGCTATAGTGAAATTAAAACGAAAAAAACGAGAAAATATTGAAAATGACTAATAAGAAATAAAGTTTTATATTAAATAGATACTCCGTCAATGATTCAATCGATCTATTCATCAACGCTAAATTCAACGAGTCAAGTATATTCACGTACTGGATGTGATGGATTACTCTATTATGAAGCACTTCAAGTCAAATTGATTGAAAGTGGCAACTATATTCTTACCGGCAAGAGCAACACTCCTTTATATGGATCTATATACAATGGTACTTTTATTCCCTCTGATTCAGATGTGAATCTTCTCGCCGAACATAATTATTTTCATGAACATTATCAATTTAAATTAGTCATAAATCTTCATGTCAATGATACATATGTATTGGTTGTTACATCGAAGTATGAAAATTTTACAGGAAACTTCTCAGTCATTGCGTCTGGTCCCAGCAACATCCTTTTCGAATATATCAGTAAGTATTATAAAATACAAACTTGTGTTTTTTTGTTTCTACAAATTTTCTCGATTGCTTCTCGAACTTAATGATTATTTTCTTGTATAAAATAGAGATGCCATCAATCATCCAATCAATGTATTCATCAGCTTTGAATTCAAGTAATCAAGTGTATTCACGTACTGGATGCTATGGATTTTACTATTACGAAGCACTACAATTGATGGTGAATGAGACAGGCAAATATATTTTTAGCAGTAGAAATTACGACAATTTATATATCTACATCTACAACGGCACTTTTATTCCATCTAATCCAACTATAAATTTACTCGCAAAAGATGATCACATCTGTAAAAAAAATCAATTCAAGTTAATCCTTCCTCTTTATGCTAATATTACATATATTTTGGTTGTCACGACGTATCATGTGAATGAGACAGGACGCTTCTCAATTGTAGTATCGGGACCAAATAAAGTCATTTTCAATCGTATAAGTGAGTATATAAAATGTCTATCAGTTGAATATTTCATTCCCATCCATCCGTTAATTTTCTTTATTTTATTTTCCCATAAAATAGAAGAGACTGAATTAATTTATCAAACTGTGTATTCATCAGAATTAACTATTAACAGTCAAACATATGGAAATGATCAGTGTAAATCAATATACTATTACTATGAAGTTGTACAAGTGATCGTTGATACAGTTGGCTTTTATACTTTTTCAAGCACCGGCAATATCATTCCATATAGATATCTCTACGAAGATTATTTTAATCCATTCAATCCATCTGACAGTTTACTTTTAAAAGATGATGAAAGATGCGATCGTGATCGGTTTGAACTATTTAATTATCTTCAACCCAATGTAACGTATTTATTGGTTGCAACAATACCTTTCTCAAAGATCATAGGTTCTTTTTCGATTATTGCATCTGGTGCAAACAATGTCACATTCAAGCGCATTAGTAAGTACCTGTAAATATAGTAAATAATTAGTAAAAGAACATTTCATAGACGATTCAACAGTGACAGAATCGATATATTCATCCGTATTGACTGTGAATAGTCAAATGTATTCTCGAGAATGTGGAAAATCGAATTATTACTATGAAACCGTCGAAGTAAACGTATCAAAAGTTGGTAATTACAGTTTTGGTAGCTATGGTATTAACAATACATATGGTTATATTTATAATAACAGTTTCAATCCTTTTAATCCAGCTGAGAATTTACTATCTGAAGACGGTTTTGGATGTGATAATTATAAATTTCATCTCAAAGTTTATATTCAACCTAATATAACATACATCTTAGTTGTAACAACGTTTTATCCAAATGTAAAAGGAAACTTTTTAGTACATGTAACTGGTCCAGGCAGTGTGACTCTCAATCGTATTAGTAAGTAGTTAGTTTACTTGTTATACTTTATATCGGATTCTTTTTAGTCAAAAATTATAGTACATGTTCCGTTGGTGATTGGTGTCATTCTTATACGAAAAGTATTGGATTCACACTTGATGATATCTTACGTGAAGAAATTCAACCGAATATACCTTTGCACAAGCAACCATTGTTAGTGAAAATAAGTACTGCTCTTACTACGATTATGTTTGTCGGCGGTTTAATTAATAGTCTTTTCTCTTTGTTAACATTTCAAAATAAAGATTTACGAAAAATCGGTTGTGGAATGTACCTATTCGCATCATCGTTTACTTCTCTTCTTACCATCTCAATGTTTACAATCAAATTTTGGTTTGTTGTTCTTACTGAAATGAAGATTTCTATTAGTCTTTCTGTGTTTCAAGTATGTTGTATGTCTATTGAATCTCTTTTGAAAATATGTTCATATTTGGATGCTTGGCTCAATGCTTTTGTGGCTCTAGATCGAACTGTTGCGGTTTCAAGAGGGGTGAAATTTGATAAAAAGATGAGTAAACGCATTGCCCGAATTATCATTATGATATTACCAATTTTTATCATGAGTACGATTATTCATGAACCTATACATCGTGATCTGTTTAAATATCATACGCAAAAATACAAATCAGATGAATTCAATGTATGGGTAAATGAATCGGATGAATACGAAAATTGGATAAATAAATCCAATGAAGTTGAGATATCAACAAACGACTCAAGAACATATGTGATAGAAACACACATATGGTGTGTGACTCGTTATTCTATTGCTGTTCAAACTTACAATACTTTCATTCTTTTCTTTCATCTTATCGTTCCGTTTGTTGCCAATCTTTTTTCTGCACTCTACATTATCTTTGGAGTTGCACGACAACGATCTTTAATTCAACCTGAACAATCTTATAAAAAACATATTATCGAACAGTTACATAAACATAGACAATTAATAATCAGTCCTGTTATTCTACTTATTTTGACATTACCACGTCTTGTTATCTCATTATTATCTGGATGTATGAAAACATCTAGCAAACCATGGTTATATCTCTTTGCTTATTTTATTTCATTTACGCCTTCAATGTTGGTCTTTGTCGTATTTGTTATTCCTTCGAAACTTTATAGAAAAACATTTAGACAGACGATTACAAAACTTTGGCGACGATAATATCAGTTCTCAATTTATTCAATTTTCGTGACTTACTTTCGAAGTGTTGAGATCGAAACTGTAGATGAATTTGAAATTTTTCTCTTGAAAGAATAGATGTATAATCATCAATATTTACAGTGTACTTTAACTATATATGGTTACTAGTTCTTTCAAACAATCTATCCGCATAGCTCACCCTCAAGATCGTGAATACTTGTGAGGTTTATACAAAATCAGTTTATTTTTTAAAGAACAGGGAAAAAGGCGTTATGCAATCATCTTCAAGTATGAGTTTGTTGTTGCGATAAGTATTGTTGAGTCTTTTTGTATGCCACAATATGATGGAGCCAGGTGCAGATAGGATAACATGCGAATAATGTACTTTTTACACGATCTAATTGACATTCATCTCGAGCGAGTACTGCTGTCAATCGTATTAATTGCTCATCGGTAATTTTGTCGACATCATATTCTACCAGTCGATACAGAAACTGATCGTTCATTAATTTTTTGGCATCACTCCATTCGAACTTCGCCTTTGGTGGTTCAAATAATATTCCTATACCATCGAATACCGACAGACATACCGCAGGTGGTCGAGCAAACGATCGTAACTCTGTAATTGAACTTTTGGTTAGAACTTCTAGACCATTTTTAGCAGCTAAAGATAATAAAAGACATTATTGTCAAATAGAACACTATATTCTAAGTGTATATTCATACCTTCTAAATCAGTGTGTATTGTTTCTTCAGTTGCATTAGTTGATGTCATTGTTTCGTTGTGCTGTATAAAAATGAAACGGAGTAAAGTTAATACAAAATTTTTATAGAAAATTTTGTGATTCATACTGACGATCGTCAACATTACTCAAGGTGAAAGAACAGTTGTTTGCATTCATGAATCATAACAAACAGAACATTGCAAATCTCTATGGTGAATCAATCATGATTTGCTGTTGACTAGGAATAATAATGATGAATTGTGAAATTAAAATGCAAAAATCGTTCATTAATTCTTCAAGCTTAACTTTCTTTTCAGAAACTAGCTATTCTGTGGGATAAAATTCTTTCATTTTTTTAATTAACTAACAAAATCTAAATTTATGTATATAATAATCTGATCGAAAGAATCTTTCTCGTGTGAAGTAAAGTGATCTTAACTAGATCCGATCAATCTTGAGGGTATGGGTGGTTTCATAAAAGAACGAATTACAAGTGAGGACAAACAAAAATCGTTATAAAGCTTTGGGCTCATGTAGATATTGATTTAATTCATGTTTAAGAACGTTTCCAAGTTACCACTAATAGAATATCCACATATACCTACATCTTTGGAATATACAGTGACTCATCCTCATCTGTAAGAATATAAACGAGCATATGAAAAACAACACACGTATAGTCTCAGTGCATTCGAACAACCACCAGCTATGACTTTTGTTCTTCATTCTAAATGTTGTTGTTTTTTCGAAGAAGAGGAAAGGAATCGTATTTCATGAGAGATATTTGATGCGACTATATGTTTTTTCTTCTCATTTGTTGCTTTCCTTCCTTTCTCTATTTTTATCATTTCTAAATAAAAAAAAGTGAAAATTGAGTGAGATAGAAGTGATATTTTCTTCAATAAGAGTGTCGACATTGCAAAAACATACAACAAAGGATTTATAATTTAAAGTAAGTAATAGATAGCAAGTAAAATAATACAATAAGAGTGAATATATTAAAAACGAATATGTTGAGAAAAGTCCAATCATACTCTCAGAATTTATATTGTTTCGATTATTTCTTAATTAACTACTTTCTAGAGAAAAATGAATGAGGAGTATGAACTGCATACGATAGTGATTATTTGGCATAGATTCTTTAAAAGAGTCACACGATAAAATACTATAGAAATACGCTTGTTAGTCAATTTTTCTTATATCATAATCGTGTTCATAACAATTATTGTTATTATTTAGACTACAAATGGACAACGATACTGTTTTTCCTGCTTTATCAGGTGGTGAAATAGTTGTGGGCAAATACAGAGGTACTGATCATTCTCGAATGACGAAAGCAATAGTAATTCTTACTAATTATCGGCTCTTAATTCGTTGGCAAGGAACAATTTGCGGTTGTTTTACTCGTTCTTCTTATTCTTCAATAAGACTCGATTCAATTGATCGCATCGATGATATGCGTTCCGATGCAAGTCTAGCAATTTTCTTCATGATATTTGTGCTAGTTGCAGGAATTATTTCCATGATATATGGATTTGTTTTTGGGCTAATATCATTTCAATCGTTGGGTACGCTAGTTACCATTGTCGATGTGGTCATCTTTATTTTTTTATGGTGTTCTAATCAAAACAAATATATTACATTTAAAGGTTCTTTTGGCTCAGAAACGATAATATTTCAAAAGACAATTGCTAATGAATTCGAAGAACGGTTGAGTGAAATGATTCATCAACGAAGTATTCAATATTTTACTGGAAAAAATGAGCATAATGGATCACGTTTACTGTCGGAACCATCAGCACCGATGGTATCGAGAAACATTATCGATATCGAGATGGAAACAGAAAAAAAATATGCTTACCAACCGTTGTCAAGTGTTGCATAAAACAATATATTAAATGCATATTGACATTTTTCTATTCGCTTATAATACTGCTTCTTTGATTTTCGCTTACTAAATGTATGGAATATAGTTTATTTGAAATAAAATATTTGATACTTCATTTTATATTAATGTGTTGCATTATTTTCTACTTATTCTATTTTACACATGTATCGCATCCTTTCTTTTTATTCGATAAAGATGATTGTTCTATTGAAGAAATAAAAAGTATATCAATGTGACTTTTGCATTAGAAAAATAATGATGAATTGCTTCCAAAATCAAGCTTATAGAATTTTATAATAATAAAAATAGAAGATGATCCTTTCTTTATTCTCATATACTTCAATTATTTTCTTTTTTTTCTCTCTTATTAAAGATACGATAATTTTGGCAGTATACAACGTGTTTGTCTTTATAACGTCGTGTGCAGCTTTGTCAAGAACCGAAGTTATCAGAAAAATACAATCTGATCGTGAGGATTATCTCTTCTATGGAAAACGTCATTCCAGATGTTCTGTCAAAATTTTAATGAACAAAAAAGAGCGTTAGAATAAGCTTCGTTAACGGGAATCATGAAAAGTATTCAATCAATTTCAATGTGTACTGTATTGTCAAGAATCTATATTATTATAGAATAGTTTATTTTTCTATTTATACATTAAGCGTCTTTTATTGCTTGTTGTTGTCGTCGAGACGGAATAGTATTCCTTTGTATTCTTTGTTGTGTTATCTGAATCGGTGCAATATTTACTCGCTGTTGATTTGAGAAGCAAAGTAAAGATTTTAATTCTTTTCGGAATAATGGACTCGTAAGTGTAAACATATAAAATGATGTCGTAGTATTCATAAATGCTGCATAATTAACACCTTGAAGAATAAAACTTTCTATTTGAATACGGTTTACACTTTTCGATTCATTTGTAGTTATTAGTGCATAAATTCTTTGAATAGATATTGGTAATGATAAAATTTGAAATAATAAAACTTGAACAATAAGCATAACAGTAAGTTGACGATCTTTTATATTTATTGCACGATTAATTGGTCGATGACGTACATGCTGAATAGTTATCCAACCAAATAAAAACATGCACATTGGTGGAAGAAGACCATAAAAAATAAGTAAACTATAAGTGTTGAATGTATTACAAAATTGAGATACTGGAGAACAAGTGGTACCTTCTGAATTTCCATTAAAACAAACGAACATTTGAACCCAAATAAAACATAATATGATGAATATACCACAAATTGTTCGTTGAGAAACTTTGACTTGACTAAATGAACGTATACGAACACTAGTAGAACTTGATGCATATCGATCAACACAAGCTGCTACAATAAACCATGATGATGCTGATAAAGCCATGTATGTAAGAAATGTTCGTGCTTTACAATAGATAAACCCTTGATTTGGGGCTGTATAAATACCAAAAGTGATTAAGCTACGTGTCAGACAACTGAAATAGAGTGCTACTAAATTAGCAATACTCGTGGCTAAAAAATAAATTGAGCAGGACTTTGTTCGAAGTGAAGAACGAGTGAAAATAAGACAGTTAAGAATATTACCAATTGTTCCAGAAACAAGCAATACAAATGAGATATAACGAGTAAATTGATTTTGAATAAATGATAGATCTAATATCATCGAACTAGACATCGTTAATATCTATTAATAAAAACAATTTCTAACAGTAAAAATATTCTTTCTTTTTTTAACTTAATTTAGTTCCACTAACTGATGTTGACATTTGAAGAAGAGACGAAGACAAGAAGAATTATCAGAGATGATAAATAGAGAAGAGTATTTTCAACTTTATTCTCTCTTTTCTTGACTCGCAAATTTTATCATAATGTTTCTCTTGCTTGCATTACTGCAGATTTTTCTGTATTTATTAAAAAATTTTGCTTTGAATTTGGAGTGTCACACCAAATGTATAAATGCATTATCATCTCAATGAAATAACTATGACTATCACATACAACTCATGTATACACTTTGATCTAAAAAAGTTACTATCAAGTACTTAAAAGTGTTTTTTTTTAAGGGTGTCATTTAAGTGGTCAGTAAAATAACTGACATGGTCAGTAAATAGAAAAAATGAAAAGTCAGTAAATATACTGACTTTGCATTAGGAAAATGAATGGTCAGTAGAAAAATGAAATGGTCAGTTTTTAATAACATTGGATGGTAATTAAATGAAACGGTCAGTAGATAAACTTTTTTTATCAGTTGGTAAAATGAAGTGGAAAGTAGGAAAATTAAAATTTTTCGTAGTGTTGTCCACTTCATTTTTTTTTCTTTGCTTTACATATATATCTATATGGTATTTTCCTTCATATATATGATTATATGGGATTTTCTCCTTTTCTCTCATATATATATATATATATACATGATCATATGGGATTTTTCCTTTCGTTTTATTAATGCGTTTTTCTTCTGATCTTTTGACATATATTAAAGTGTGTTATTTCCAAGTGGTGAATTAAAGAATATCACTCAAGTATTTTTCCTAGAATATGTTATAGTATAAGAGATGGGAATAATCCAAATAACCATTTCTTATCCTATAAATACTTGCGTTTTTTTCTTAAAAAAACAAAATATTATTAAGCTTTCGAACTATCACCTTCTCCTACTTATCAACGTCAAGACTGTAACAAAGAGCAATGGAAGTAGCGCAGTATGAGAGCGATGCATCAGATGGAGAAATTATTCAAGAACAACGTGCAGTGAAAGAAAAAAATGCCGTCGTGAAAAGAAGAAAACCAAGTTTTGGATTAAAGAAGAAACATTTGATAATGCTGGTGCTGGTGAAGTAGAAGCATCGATTAAAAATGAATGGACCAAGCGTTATACAAATCACACTCAAGATGTAATTGGTCAATCGATCGTGATCCGTCATCAGTAAATTCAAAACAATTTGCTACAGAACCAACAATTACTTTACAGTTATGGACTTCATCCTATCAATGGGCAAAGTCAGATAAAAACATAATTTGTGTTTCAAGTGATTCTACGAAAATTTATTATATACCAGCTCATGAATTACAATCATTCTCTCAAGCTGACTTGAACAGATATAAAAAACAAAAGTTCACAACTTTCAATCTATTCAAGAAATCATTCGACATCTGGTGTTTGGAAATGAAAAATGATTCACATTGGAAAAGATCGAAATGTAACTGTCCAGCTTTTATGAAGAACTTTATATGTAAGCACGTTGTCGGTATAAGTATACGATTAAAATATTGCAAACCACCAGCGGCTGCAAAGACAATTCCAATTGGCGAAAAGAGAAAACGTGGTCGACCATCAAAAGCTAGACCAGCCTTGTTGGTGCAGTGATTGGATGTTCGCTCTCTTTATTAACATTGATTTATAAATTTCTACTGATAAAATATTTTTTCTACTGATCAAAAATCTATTTTGTACTGTCCAAAAATCTATTTTGTACTGACCAAATTTCTTTTTTCTACTGATATAAATCATATATTTTTACTGTTACTTACAGCAAATAAACTGACCACTTCATAAATATTTACTGCGATTCTCAATACTGATCAATCAGTATATTTACTGACCATTTCCATATTTTTTACTGACCACTTCAGTTATTTTACTGACCGTTTAATATATTCCCTATTTTCATTGATTATTGGATCACGTTTATCTGACGAAGAAGAACTTACAGCTGAATTTGAAGAACATGGAAATGAACAACGAAATTGGTAAATTTATTTTATTTTTCATATCATAATATTAAAAATTTATTTTAGTAAAAAACTTCATGTGATTGTACTCATCTCAACGGACAAAAGAAGTAAATATCTTATAAAGTTCTATTATTATCAATTCTAATTGTGTCTCGATGGGTTATATGCTAATTGATCATTTTATGATTCATAGTAATACGAATAATTTTCATCAAAGTCACCTGAGTTTCTTAAATCTTTTAATATTTATTAAAAAAAAAAATAAGCGAATAAGCAATCTACACCATCGATTCCCCGCTCGATGTAAATGAAACAGAAAAACAAAATCTCTATTTATTACACCTGAACAGATCATACAGATTCTTTACATTTTGAGTAATAAAATAATCTAATGTAAACAATTCTGTAGTTTCTATGAGAAAAAAACAATCAATCGCTGAATGTCCCACATGTCCCGGTCATGAAAAAAATCTCTTTTTCTTTGATTCTAAAAATCAATGTTTCGTATGTCCCACTTATAAAGCAATGTTTATAATGAATGAGAAATCTAAATATTCAAAAAATGAATTTTTTTCATCAATTTTATCTTTAGTCTAAATTTCTTTTCTTCTTAAATTGATTGAATTTATTCAAATAGGCAACATTTTACTTTGTTATTAGCAAAAGAAAATATTTTTCATATATAAAATTTAATCTACAATCAGAAACCATTTTAAATTCTCTTTTTCTTTAAATTAAAAATATAGAAATAATTTTTTTATTTATAGCATTCAAAACACAACTAAATTCCCTAACCGACTGTCACATATATGTGATATACAAAGACCGCATTATGTGCTGTTCATCTTAGAAAGCTGGCAAGAATCTTTTTCTTTTCTATTATAAGAATCTTGTCTGAATATGAAGAAATTTAAAATATCTTGTGTTTCTTTTTTCTTCATAATATTCTGGCAAGGTTCTTTTTATCTTGAACTTCAGTCAAAATTCTTTTTAAAAGGAAAGAAAAAGATTCTTCTCTGAAAATCAAGAAAAACAAGAGCCCGGAAAGAATAGGATAAGACTGGTGACTGGTGACTGGTGACATTTATATCCGGCTGGATGAAAAAAAGTGGATGAACATCTACGATTAGATGACAGAAAGTCATCTAAATATTATGCGATTGGTCCTTTATTCTTCAGAGAAAGATTTGAAACTGTATCGATGTATGCAATTATTCAACAAGCGCAAGTTTTAGCAAACGAAATTATAAAGTTTTTGACTATACCGAAAACAATCATGT